GCTGAGGAGATATTTTACTTGGGAATTTGTTGTTGCAGATGTAACAAAGCCGATAGTTGGTGTCGATTTTTAAGCCACTACTACTAAAAAGGTTATAAGTTCAACTTTTGCAATCATATCACAAATTAGCACCAAGGGAAACACCTGCTAACATCACAAGATCCATCCAGTATGAGACTGAGGCCAATAGACAAATACTTCGAGAAGAAATAAATGTTGACCTACGCATAAGCGAGACTTATATTTTTAATCATCATTACGATCGGTAAGCTTAAAAATTTGTGCAGAACGATGCCGTACGCTCGTTGGCCTTGTCTCAATCTTCTTTAATGCACTAATTACTGTGTAAGGTCAGTTAGCGGGACGACAACAAGTTCATCTTTATTGTCCCTCAATATTCCATTCAGGTTGACCTTAGAATACTATTCTGAAGCGGTCTACAGACGATATTCTAGTTCAGAGTTCTGCAGTTCGAGCCTTGTACCATTGCTACTAAAGTTGTGGCCACAGGTCAGCAAAGATCATAATAGCTAATAATCGATACGCGAACCCATGTATGGCGGCACGTTTGTCTCGGGGTAAACAGATTAACTCCTTCCGTCGTCCATGATACAAAGTTCGTCCACGCCGAGGATGTCATTCGTCGAAATAGCATCATTATTTTTATTTCCGATAGACATGATGCACAACCTGAGGTACCATTTAAATATACAATCATTGTTTGATTGAATATTCTTTATTGCACATACCATGGTAAAAAAAACATTATTGATTTAAAACAGATTTTCAGCATTGCACAGCGATTACCACAATCTCTAAGGCATTCAAAAGCACAGTGGAAGTGAGGTGCGTTGTCCATTTAATACGATATCGTTTATGTTCTCTCGCTCAACAGAAGAATAGGAAAACAACAAGTATGTCGACTTCAGTCGGTCCCCGTTGGTGGTCGTTCTGCGAGGCCCCGGTACTTCCCCGGATGAGGTGGCACATTTATGCGACGGCAGAAGTTGCTGCGGTATTATACCGCATTGAATAATTCCTCTATATGGTGATAATTCTTTCACTTTAACTACCGTTTACTAAAGCTGAGTGTGTTACAAGTGATTTTGTTACGGACGTTTTTATGGAAACGACAAATCAGTTGGACGTTATTGAGGCTGCCCTTTTGGATATTATTGACACAAATGAGTGACTGTTATTTAATTACTGTTAATAAAGAAATATGGGGAAAAGATTCATTTGGGATACAAACATATGATTAATTGGAATGATGATAAACCGGCTATATTAAAAATACCGACTAATAATCACCGACTTTCTTTTCCGGGATATAATTGATAATGACGACGTGAATAGTGCGCTTTCACATAATATGGTATTAAATGCCAAAAAAACCAGATGTATTCTTTTTACCCTTCCCAGTATAAGAAGGAAAAGTTTTAGTTTAATATTAAATAACGTACCCATTAATCTTCATTAATCCCCAGCCCCTATCCCACCTTTTTTTTACGGCCTACTTAGCGTCAATCCTACTAGGGAACAAACACGAAAATACGGAGTAATTAACTGTTAATTGTTAATTAACATTGTGATTTTTATTATCATTTTGGATTTTATTGCATTTTAGTATTTTGTTTATTATATAATAATAATTATTTATATACATGATACCCCAGTGCCTGTTTAAACCCTAATTAACCTAGTTGATACATTAACTAACTACTTAAATAACGTACCCATTAATCCAGTTGAGTCTGCTGTATTTCTGGGAATTACAGTAGATTCAAAGCTCCAGTGGAGTCCCCATATATCATCTCTTGCGAATAGACTGAGCTCCGCGGTTTTTGCGATTAGAAGGGTTAGGCAGCTAACAGACATCGACACTGCCAGACTTGTTTACTTTAGTTATTTTCACAGCATCTTGTCGTACGGCATTTTGTTGTGGGGTAGTGCATCAGATATAAATACTATATTTATTCTTCAAAAAAGAGCTGTCCGAGCAATCTACAATATCGGAGCCCGGAATTCACTCAGAGATCTTTTCAAAGAGGTTAATATACTCACTGTTGCTTCTCAATACATTTATTGTAATGTTTTGTATATACGTCATAACCTTAATTATTACCTAAAGAATAGTGACAGACATAAAATAAACACTAGAAATAAGGACAAACTTACTACGCCATTGTTTCGTCTACAAAAAGTAAATAAGTCGTTCATGGGGCAAAGTGTACGCATGTATAATAAAATCCCACAGTCGATATTAAGTCTGCCGCTTGACCAATTTAAATGTAAAATTAAAAATCAACTGATGATTAAAGCATATTATACCATTTCGGAATATCTCGACGACGCCAATGTGTGGAGTTAATACTGTTGATACTCACGTAGGCTAGAATAAGACTATTATACCTGTATATTATATTGTACCCTGATATTTTTGAAAAAGAGCAACTGTTGAGTTTCTTGCCGGTCTCTTCTCAACAGAAACCGCTTTCCGAACCGGTGGTACCTTACGAACCTATACACATAATCTTTGATGTAAAATTTGACGATTCATAAGAGCGCGCAAGCGTCTATTTGAATAAATATATTTTGATTTTGATTTTGATTTTGAATGTTGAAATCTGTCAAAAGGTCAGGGCTGAAGATCGTGCAAAAGAATTAAACGTACATGCAAACTATAGAAAAACACTATCCTCCTTCGGCAGTCGAGTAAAAAGATAGAGGGATCAATTAGCGAAGAAAATGGTCAGAATACTCTCATCGTTTCAGTGATTAATTAGATTCGAATCAAATAATTTATTTGTCGATATAAAAAACATACGTTTCATCTATCGATAGCCATTCTTTTTAAATCTATGATAGTTTGTTAACGAGTCTCCTCGAACGGAGAAGAAACAGGCGAAAGTAAACTCCGCGGATGTTCTCTTTTTTGTAATTTTTTTCCCTCAAACCTTAAAATAAAACATACATTTTTTTTAGAAATGGCGTGCTAGCGATCAATTAATTCCCCGTTATTATAGAAAGTTATTTATGAGTATAAGCCTGTTAATAGAAGTTTATTAATATTTTTTAAGGAGAAGTCACGTGTGCACTAACATGTGCATAACTAAAGACCTTGTTCGCGTTTTAAGAACAATAAAGAGAATTATATGCATTCACTTAGTCACGTGCCATTCGTGTAGTTTTTCATGTTTCATGAAGAATAGTGTGATGGCTTTTTTTTTAAAAACATTTCCCTTACTTTGGGATAACATTATCCTATGTTGTAGGGACATTTTACAAAGATAAATTTCACGCGGACAAACACCCAGATGCGAAACAACTATCTATGGGTAGCACAAATAGTTGTCCCGTGTGGGAATCGAACCCACGACCCCCGAAGTCGAAGCCAATACCTTGGCAACTACGCCACGGAGTCATCTATTCATATATTCATTTAGTCATCATTTTTATACAACGATTTTTGCGTGTAGCGTATCTATATACAAATACAAATTACTTTATTTAAAAAATAAATTAAAAACCTTAATTTTTTTAATTTGAAAATTTGCCAAGCGAGCAGGCGGTTCACCCAATGTTAAGTGAATACCGCCGCATGGACATCTGCTTCACCCGAGGGTTACAGATGCGTTGACAACCTTTTGAAAATTGGGCTCCGGCTACCTCACTCACCAGACGAAACGCGAAAGTATTTGTCATACTTCCACTTTACGCCGGTCTTCTGTGAGGTCGTGGTAATTACGCGGACGGGCCTGCCCATTCGTGCAACAGCCGAGGCTGCTGCGTGGCCCTACCACCGTTCTACATTTATGCATTATGAACTGACCCCTACGTTAGGCTGTTGCCTGTCCTATGAGGGATAAATATTACGATCTACAGTTTGATTTACGGGCTGTTAATCAATATTTAAATGGCAAAATAGGGAAGCGGTGCGTGCTTATGTGTCTGTGTTTTATAATGCTGCCTGAACACTATTCATATTGTTTACCCAGTAGGGTATAAAATCGTTGCATTATAAACTGGCGTCATCTAAGGCCCATAATTATACAAAATAAAGTATTATTAGCAAGCTGTGTTTACAGTTTTTCCTTTTGTACATTCATGGCATAGTTCCTCATGATTTACACTCCTTTATAAAGCACGCTGGGAAAAGCTAGTTCAAATGTCGATAATTCAAAGATTCTTTTATAATGTTATTTTTTTTAATTGTCATCCTATGTATATACATTCGTTGACTCTTCGGATTCGGTGCTGGGGGGTCATGGGTTCAATTCCCACACGAGACAACTATTTGAATGACCCACGGATAATTGTTCCGCATCTGAGTGTTTGTAAACGTGAAATATATCTTTGTAAAATGTCCTTTCAACACGGGATAATGTTGCCTTAGACTAAAGGCATTGTTTTAAAAAAAAAAAAGTTAAGTATCTTTGGTGACAGACATATTACGTCAACATCAGTTATTACCGCGGCTCGCCTTCAATCCCAAACTTTTCTCTTCCAAACAGCTTTTCCGCGTGGCGAGTCCTTGAATAGCGTACGCTAACGCTAGTCGCTACGAATCCGCTGCCAACGCTTCCGATCGTCGGATAAACAATGTCGGCATCGGCCGTCGACACGCGTCATTAAGCGGCGGCGTCGCGATAAAAATGGACGCCGGGACGCCGCGCCGCACTCCGGTGGTGGCGCGTAAGCGAGCACTCACCCGCCGCGAAGGGAGCGCACTGAGAAAGTTTCACCGGCCGCCAGTGTTTTTGTTTTCTCTACGGGAAAATAGGGCGGTCGCTTTCGGTTCGGCCAGTACTTTAGAAAAGAATAGGGCAGTGATTTTTATTACTTAAAGTATATCTAAAGCCAGCTTTTTTTTATTGAACTTCGAGTATTATTTGCTTCGGCCAGTATTATTTAGTGCTAGGCTTTTTGAGGGTAAATAGAGCGTTTGGGCTGCCAGTATTATTCGCGGGTAAAATAGGGTTGTTGCAACGACATAGGGGATGTGTGCGACGACTGTGCGGTATTTTCTCACCCTGTGCGGCGTTTTCATCGTCGTAGGGGATGCGCAACTGCTGAGGAAGGAGGCCTATGAGAGTGTGGTGAGTGATTTTGTATTGATTTCCTGTGAAGGCTGTTCCAAAAATTTTCAATGTCATTTCATTTGATTAAAAATGAATTGTTAATCTATTTTAAAACGGATTTAAATGGTTTGAATTCTTATATCAAAGCGTAAACTAATGGCATTATTTATTAATTAATTGAAACGACTAAATTCACGTCCAATCGGTTGTAGGCATCGACTCGATTCGGTCCTTCGGAAGTAATTTTCAGAGTGAGTGGGATGAGTTCGCGGTCGCGACACGTTTCGTATGAGAACGTAAGTTCGAAATCGTGTAGGTACCGAATAGGTCCGAAACTAGTCGGTACCTACATAGATTACAACTTATACCTATTTACGTTGTGTTAATGCTAACATTACGTCTATATGGAGCACGTCTCTGCACTTGCGAGTCCCGTGGCTCCTGCTAATTTACACTTAAATACCTAGTACCCGGAGGACCGAGCTTTGCTCGGTTTGTTTTTTGTTTTTTTTTTTGGTAAATCGTGTATTTTGGAAATAACATTCAGATACAAATTACTGAGTAATGAAATATGCATAATATTTTTCAATCTTACCTGACATAATAATAAGAAAATATGAACTGATGTTTTTCACAAAAGAAAGAACTTTAAAAAAAAAGGGAAAAAAATAACACAATAACAAATCGACAAAAAAATAAAAATAAAGAAAGTAAAAAAATAATGTGTAAATGATCGTGACGCGAACCACGGCCGTCTGTTTTGGGGCCGCCCGATTACCGACTGAGCTATTATGACATTTTCTCTTGCGGCGAAATTTAACGTCATATTCGAATTATATTTTTCATTCCCTGAAAACAGGGATAAAAGGACATTTTCGAAAAATGAAACCTAGCTAGATCGATTTTTCGCCCCCGAATCTACGCACATACTAAATTTCATGAAAATCGCTGGAGCAGACGTACAAGAATTGCTCGTTTAAAGGATAAAGATAAACCTAGATAATTTATTAAAAAAAATATATGACCGCAGAGTTAATCTTGCCGGTTCTTCTCTTGAAGGTCTAGTTTACTGAACCAGTGGTAGTTTTTTTTGACGTTCAATAAGAGTTTAAGTTAAGCTTATGTTGAATAAAAATAAATTTTGACTTTGACTTTGAATTATAAAATTGAATATGTTATTTAAACGCTTTGTAATCAAATAAACGCGATTTTCAGCCGAAAACCGCTTTTAATTTTTTCGAAATTTATGTCTTATTATATAAATGTTATTTTATTCATTTATTTATTTAAACTTCATTGTTATACCTTACGCTAAGGGCTACAATGGGCGTACTTAATGCCTAATGACATTCTCTACCAGTCAACCCTTGTTATAGTGAAAAGTATGTGGTAGGTGACAAATGAAGACTATAAAAATTATAGTTAATAAATGTTCCATAATATGTAACATATATGTAAGTATAAATAGGGACATAAATAAGTAAATATATAGATACATACAAAGATATATAGAAATAAATACATTTATAGAAATAAATTATCCGTATGTGTATTTATTTAAATACACATATGGATAATAAAAACACAAATGGAATAAGTGAAATAAAGTCAATGATTTAAGAAGTATTCTCGAATTAATTTTTTGAACATATACTTATTTGGAGCTGTTTTGATCTTATAGGGAAGAGCGTTCCAGAGGAGTGTAGCTTGAACAGTAAAAGAGGACTTAAAATCTTAAGTTGGTTGATGGAACGAGATACTCTGTCAGGGCCAGAGTGAAGGTATTGGAAGATATCATTAAGCTATGAAGGAGAATTAGCATTAAATAATACAGAATACAATATTAAAAGAATTCTGGAGGTGCGCCTCTGTCGGATGGAAAGTCAGTTAAGCTTGCGACGGTAGGAAGATACATGGTCATATTTGCGTAAACCGAAAATAAATCTAATGCAGCTATTGAGAAGGCGGTCTAATTTTTCGAGACGAGACTGGGATAGGTCCGGATAACGCACATCAGAATAGTCGATAATGTTCAAAATTTATGATTGGACAAGTAAAAGCTTAGTTTTAAAGGGTAGGAAATTTTTCAAACAGTAGAGAGAACGTAAGGTGGCAATAACTTTCCGGTTAACTTCGGCAATCTGCGTTTCCCAACTAAACGAGTGGTCCAAATGCAAGCCAAGATTTTGAACCGAGTCAGAAAACGGAATTCACGTTCCATTATAAGAAATTGAGACATGGCTGCCATAGTCAATCCTGACAAGCATCCTTGGACCACCAATTATAATTGCTTTGCATTTAGATGGGTTAACAATAATCCCAAAACTATGTGACCAATCTTTAATAGATTCAAGATTGTCGTTAAGATTAATTAAACTGCCATTAAGATTTTTAATATCTGTTTGGACATAAAGCTGTAGATAGTCATCATACAGATGGTACAAACAATACACTAGACTGAGGTGGTAGAGTTAATAAATAACGAAAACATAATTGGAAAAAGTATACCGCCTTGCGGCACCCCAGTATCAACATCCGCCCAGGCAGACTACGCGGACTGAGGAAAACCAATCCAAAGCTGGGGTTGAAAATCTAAGGTAAGTAAGTTAGGATCTAAGGATATCGTTGGTGAGGTGGCAAATGACCAATAGAAGTGATTGTTTAAGAGCGGATCGTAGGGTCCATAGATGGTGTAGATATAAAATGTTGGTTTATGTCTTTCAAGGTTAGTAAAGAGGCATGATCTGATGGGCACGGTTTGGTAATGCCAAGAGATTTGAGAAATCTCCACACATCAGCGGTAGACGCATTACTAATATTTTCATGGATATAATAACGTTTACCGTTTCGTATCATCTGATTGCATCTGTTTCTAAGCAGTTTGAAATGAACCCAGTTCCCTTCCGTACGTTCCCGTTTAAATTTTCCAAAAGCTCGATCCCGTCTCGCCATTGCCGCCCTAACGCCTCTAGTCATCCACGGGGCAGGTTTACTCTTACAAGATGTACAGGTGCATGCGCATTAAACAAAGTAGGCGGTGCTAAAGGAGCAAAATCGATGAGCGATGCGTCACTCCTGAGTTTGTCTCCTGAATTCTAGAAAAATTACGCAATTTTAAGAAAGTGGGAACAGGTTTAGGAGGGATAAGTTTTTAGGAAAAGTAAATTAAATCATGTAGGGAAAAGCTAGGAGCAGAAAGCTGACCGTGCTTTGTAACTCAGTCAGGGGAAGCTGTACTAATGAGGTCAATCCCCGAGTCATCAGTGTGAACATTGTGATGAGTAGCCGCTAAAGGCAGAATGTGGAGTTCAACTGACTCAATAATTGTGGGAAGTTTTTGAGAAAGAGACGTATTTCTTAACAAATCAGTGTTAAAATCACCCATTATCATACAGTGCGTGTACTCGGAGCAAACGAAATCAAGAGCAGCTTCAAGATCGCTGATATAATCAACAGTAGGACAGTACACTACCTCTAGAATCGCCCTAATACCCGAAACGCAAATTTCAAGAAATAAAAATTCGGCGGAAGCTGAATATGCAGACCCCTTCTGCTAGGATAATCTTATAAGGTATATAACCCCTCAGGTATACAGCAACCCCAGCTCCCCCCTTCTCAGTCCGGTCATTCCGAATAAGTACAAAGTCCGAAAGGGGGTATAAATTGGACATCAGGGGTGGTTTTAGCCAGCTTTCGGATACTAGAATCGCATGGATGTTGCTAGCAGAAAATGCATCTTCCAAGTCTGAAAAAGACTAGGTATACTTTGCGCATTGATATGGCATACATTAAACAGTTTACTACAAGACGCGAAAGTACAGGTAAGCGTACCACGTAAAGACAGCAAGCTTTTATTCAAAAGTTTACACAAAGCAAACGAGGAATCTAAATTATCAGCAGAATAAAAAAATCACTATCCGACATAACTTAAAAAAATATGAATAAATAATTATATTAAAAAAATAATGAAAAAAAGAAAATACTCTGTTACAATCTAAGTCAAGCGAAGTAAAAACAATAATAAATATTATTTTACCTACTATGCAACATCCCAACAGTTGATAGTTTACACGAGCTAAGCGAATAACAATCTTAATAATAAAAACACATAAGAAAAAAAAGCATAAATATACTGATAAGTTAAGTCGAAATCAACCGTTAAATTACAAAATTACACATATTACAAATTAAACAGAATATGGTAAAAAGAGATAATAAGTCAATAAAAACGTTTAGTCTATGAATATGAAAATAAAAAAAAGCAATGAAAATGAACAAAACATTAAATACAATTAACAAAAACAAAAATAAAAATATACTCAAACACAGGGCAGTATGGGTTAGAACCGTTGCCTACTGTTAAAAGAATTTAAGAAAAATACAACAATAGTTATTTGTATTGTTATTGTCAGTTTAAAGATATAAACAAAACGAAAAATTAACAAAGCGATAAATATTACAATGAGATTTTTAGATAAATATTATTGAATGTTTACTATGAGTAATAGTTCTAAAAGACAATATATGAGATGTGTTCAAATAAGTTGTTAACAATGACTAAAAATTGATAACCTAAAAAAATATCATCGAGTGCATAACAGCAACTTCTTACTTGTTGCTGCAGAAGACCAAGAATTTTACTTACCAACTCTTTAAATCCACAAAAGTCTCGATTGAGCTGTTGTAAAGTTGGATTCTTACTTGTTGATGCGGGGACTAAAGCATCTTTTAGACGATTTTCAAACTCAGTCATCTTAGCCATCCAGCTAACTTCAAGCTTTAAGGAGCTTGAATACATAGCCCATTTACATAGTGCCAGTTTCTTACCTGTTGTATACAATTAAATTGAAGCAATAAATGAGTTGCATGGTCTAAAAAACAAATGGTCTAACCAATTATTGCGCGCAATTTATTGCATTCAATTATTGCTCTTGTATGTACAAGAAAATGGCATCGTGTAAATGGACCTTTATTCAGTTGATCAACATTGCTGAGATTAGCCATGTTAAAGTAGTAAA